GCAGCCTAGGCTGCAAAAGGCGAAACGGATTTCGCACTCGGCCGACCGGAAAATTCCGCGATTTTGTTTACGCGATGGGGCGCAGGAGGCGGCGAGGAATTCGGATTCCCTCTCGTGTCGCGTCTATCCGTGAATATCGACATGTCTCTCTTCCTACCTACGTGAGACCGTAGAGCGTCGGAATTATTCGGAGCTTTTGTCGCGCGAAAGTTCGACGCGCGGCTAAACTGTTATCGAGCTTTTCCTTTCACCGCGCGTCTTACCTCTGGCTGTCTCATCGCCGCGTATCTCGAAGATAAGTATCTCAAACGAGGTGCGTCTCGTTTATTCGTTCCCTCTGTAGTTGCAGTCTATATCCGCGAGATATTGTCACTGTCGACGTGCGTAGGAATAACAATGAAAATCGGGGAAATATAATTTTAGCTAAGCATGCCCGAGTTGAAATTTTAGCCTTATGTTAAATTTTGAATTTTACAATACAGGAGTTAAGTTAAAAGAAATTTAATTCTGATAATACAATTTACTCCTACTTTGATTCTGATAATGTTCGAAATTTTCTTTTTCATTTTTTTTAGCGTCAAAATAGACGTTGAATAGCGAAGTTGAAAGTATGTAGGATCAAAATTTCGATTCGAGTACGCGGATGGGAACCTGAACCTTCTAGCATCTGTGTATTCTGAAAGATTAATGTACATTTAATACACACGGGAACTAAAGTCTCATTTAGTACTTCTGGAATTGGCGGAAAATGCACGAAATGCCACTTGTAGGTTCTAAAGAGGATCAAAGTTGGTAGGTGAAACAGAATCAAAAGATGTAGGCTTCAGAGTAGACGTAATGGAACAGGAGTATCTAGGTCGAAAGTAAGATCTCAAAATTTCGACTCGGGAGTGCGCGAGGTATCGACACGCTCGGCGCGTTCCTCACGACAGCTGGAGTATTGGGTCGGCCGGGGTTGGGCGAGCGGTTTATTCAAAACGGAAGTTTAGATATACGCGCCGAGTAATACGGAGGTGGCGTATCGGACGGAAACTTCATCCTTTAATATATAAATATGGCGCGAGAGATGGGGTTCAGCGTAAGGCGCGTGTACATTAGCTGTTCAAAACTACGACATGTAAACTTGCTTTTCTCCTGTATAAACCATAAAACAACGGACTCTGGACCGGCGGACGACCTCGCAAGCCAGGCTGACTATTAAAAGTTGCAAATTGCTGCAGACACACTGCGGGCCCCGTGTTCAGCCGTCTTGGGCACTCGCGTCCGCGCGGGAACGCGAGAGCGCCCCTGTTCGTCCTGTCCTAACTTACTTACCATCAGACTTACTCGCTTCCTCACTTACTATAGTCGCTCGCTCGCTCACTTACTTATTCCCCGCCTCGTATTCCTTATCCCCCTCGTCCCTCGCGCGATCCCGCACTTTTCCGCGCCGCGGTTTTCCCGGTTAGCGCGTTATTCCCGTCGTTTCCGCCTTTCTGGAGCAGCCAGTCTAAGCGGTAATCCCGAGGAGCGCGGCCGGGGGAATGCGTCGGGCCGAGCATGGTGAAACCGCCGCCAAGCTTCCCGGCCCAGGGTGTCATGTTATTTTTGAGCTGCGCGTTCGACAAAGTTCGGCTGATAAAAGCGGTTAACTGTTATCGCCCTGCCATTTATAGCATACTTAACGAAGCAATCAGTTCAGCGAGGAATGATTCATATCCGCCCTCTGTACTACATAATAGACGATAACTTGGATTATTTAACTTCCATACGCGTAGTGGCGTGTCCGATATACTATCCAGGCGGGCCATTCGCCACGGTTAGTTTACTGTTTAGTTGCGGTGTCCCGATGTGCCGCTCTCAAATATATTTTGTAAAATAGTTTACGATACGCGGCTGGCTGGTAATCGTACAAAGCACCGCGCGCGGACGTAAATGCTTTATCAAGCGGGACGGAGTATTTTGCCTCTGTTCGCACATTTCGCCATAATTCGGTTCAATTATCATTCGATTATATTGGTTTTAGTGGCGCACATTTAGCCTCAGCGCGTGCAAATGCGGGCTCGTGAAATTACGAAAAATACGTCCGCACATACATAAATCTCGCGAATAGTTCAATGAGACGCGTCGTCAAAATCGATTAATGATGCGTGTATATCAGTTCTTTTGGCACGCGCGATGTATTATAAAACCGAGTCGAAATTGCGGCTCTATGTTAAACCTTGAATTTTAAACGCAGTAAGAACCAAGTTAGTAAAGTAGGTTTAATTCTAATGATACAACTTACTCCTACTTCTTCTCTAGTGAGATTTCTCTTCACTTTCTTTAGTGTTGAAATAGATGTTGAATAGAATAGTGAGACGGAAAGTAGAATCAGAATTTCGATTCGGATAAATAAAATCAAAAGAGTTTGATGAAGGTTTCAGAGTTTCAAAATAAGTGTTGAATGGAATAGTAAGGCTAAAAATAGGATGAAAATTTTGACTCGGGTCTCCTTGCCGTTGTGCACCTGCTGCAACAGAATTTCTGCAATTTTATATCGCGCGTACCGACAGCTAGAAATTATTAGTTACGTCCGATTGCGCCATGTTAGCTTTATATGATCGATAAAATATTTAAACCGCTTTTGTGAAAATTGCTGTTAAAAACTCAATAAACTTGCTTATAAATCATAACGTTAGCGCACACATTTTTCCCTTCTTTTTTTTTTCATTTCAAAGGATATTTTTAATGGGATATCCCACACATGCGTAGCATACGTAGCAATTTCACAGGCTGTTTTGCCGTTGTGTCAGTTCCGTGGCGAAATAAAATACACGAAGGCTCGGAATACACATTGATTGTAACTATTTCCCGTTAGCCTCCATTAAATATCACTCGATCGGTTAACGTATCACGCGTGACGCGCGAAAGCAAAAAGAAGGAAAAAAATATTCATGGTCCATGTGCGCTCGTGAAAGTAATCGCCGGCGTCTAATCGCCGCGCCTTAAAACACTTTTTCGACACTTCGCAACGCGCCTTATCCCTGTGCGGCCTACACGTCGGTTTCATAAACCCTCATAACTCGGCTGGGTTAAATACCCTGTCGGTCCCGGGACGGCGCGGGGGTTAAACGGCGTCGAGGTCGACTATGCCGACGGGCAAGAAAATGAAAAGTAACGATTCAATATCAACGCCACGCGGGTTGCGTGTACCGAATTAACACGTACTGATACGGCCTGTATGTCGTCCACGCCGGTGACATCATTCTTCCATTAATCCTGTCGACATTTTCTGCGTATCGCGCCGCGCGGCTTTTATTATCCGCGCGCACTTGGACCGTAACATTTTACTTTTTCTCGCTTATATCATGCTCGCGAAATCTATCACCATTAATTAGCGATAGAGTCGCGTACAGGATCGGCCGCAGACGCGAGATGGCACGGTCAAAAGAGATTCGTCTGCGCGAGATTTTAATGAAGTGCACTTGGGCGAAGCGATGCACGTGCTCGATATCGAAATTTTTATCTTCTACTTTCAGCTTTCTACTCATTATTCTATTCAACACCTATTTTGATATTCTGAAGCCTATGGTGCAATCTATTTTGACGCTAAGAAAAGTGAAAAAGGAAATTTCGGGCATTATCAGAGTCAAAATAGGAGTAAATTGTATCATTAGTATTAAACCTACTTTGCTAGCTCCTAGTGCGTTGTAGAATTCGAGGTTCAACATAGAGTCAAAATTTTGACTCGAGAAGTAAAACTAAGAATTTTCAGAGAATGAAAAAATAATACTTTGCACGTCGATGAAAAAATATATAGAAAGAAACAATTTTTTATTGTATAAAACGAAAATTGTTGGAACGAAAAGATAATATCTCCGGGCAGATCCAATATGTGTTTTCGCATGGAATTTTTCCGGAGGATCGATCAATCACTCAAAAAAATGCTCTTGCAATCAGTAAAGTTACATAATGTTTACTAGTCATTTATTCGACTTGGTTAATTTCTCGTATCTCTAGATAATTTTCGCTGTGATTATAAAACTACTTTTTTTAGTAGAAGTATAATGAGTTTCTATCATTCTTAGCAGCTTCCTTCGCCGGAACACTTTACGCCAAAGGGGATATGAAATCGATGACGCATCACGCGCATACGCGATCACAACGCTGCACTTGCGGCAAGAATTAGCCGTCGACTAATTCCTTTTGCAATCGTCTCGCGCGCGCGCGTTACTAAATATGATACAGTGAAACTTATTCCAAGGCTGGTTCTTGGGTTTCGCCGCGTTTACGTATCTTCATTTTTTCCCGGGATACGATCGATTCCGCCGAAATGACTTTTACTATCTATCGAATATCTGCGACGCCACGAGCGGGTACATGGCGATGCATAAAGAATCCAGTTTACGGCGTCTGTTAGGACTCGACGATACCCGACACGTCCCATTTCCGCCGCCCGACGTCTCCTCCAAAGTGAAACCACTTCCTCGCTGCCGGAATCTGTAGATCCGATTTAGAAGTAATGTGATCGATTCTCCTAAGTTTGTCTAAGGCATTTCTGCGACTCTCCAAATATCAACAGCCACGTAGAAAATGTGTGGATCCGCGAGATCGCACTTTAAGTGCGAATAATGATTCGATGGTAGTTTCAACGAGGACTATTTAACGCGACAAATTGCATTTGTTGCGATAACTACCGAGTTAGCCCCGCGCTTTCCCGAAATAAATGGTTTAATAAAATATTATCTGGTTTGTTTTATATTAATGTAATAATCAATTTAACGGTCGTATATTATTACATTTTATTTATTGTTGATGTCAACATTAAAGAAACATTTCGTTCCCAAAATTATCTTTATGCAACACGTTGAAAATTAGAGGAGCTGAATTATGCGGAAGCAATTGAACGCGTTAATTAATGCCCACGTGGTGTTGTATTAATGTTTCTCAAGCTTTCTGAAACGTGTTGTCTCCCTTTTAACGCGCATTGCGTTATCACGTAGCATTAAACGTGCTTTTTCGTTTTTTAAATGTTCCAGGAGATGAAAGTTAACTGGGCGACGTCGCCGGGTAACCAACCAAAGCAGGACACGAGCAGTAAGTACAACCAGTTCTCAGATTTTTCGTCGTTACACGACAAAAAAAGAATATCTAGCGTCGTGCGTTTCGCCTTTGATCCTTGCCTGACTTGTTGGGCTCGTGTACTAATTGGTCAGAGCGAAGAATTACCCCAAGAGGGAATTTTTGCTCCACCGCAGAGCAAAACGTATACTTGGATGAGTTATGCAACGCACTTTTATGCAAAAATATGGGGAAATCTTCGTCAAACGATAATGGCGCGGCCCGGTAAACAGCTCAAACCGATTCAATGCGACATTTCCATATTAATCTAGCATTTATAACGTTAATAAAATGCAGCGACGTCAATAAACCGATTATATCTAATTTACAAAATTTGTGCCAGGAATTTATTATCACTTGAT